AAAAAAGATGTTCACCAGATATTGCTCAACCCAGTATTTTAGTAGGAAACATAATTGTAGTGAAGTTTGGCCGTCAAAGCATAAGCTAGTCCATCGCACAGCCGTCGGGGATAAGGCTGGGCGATCTCTGTCCAATGTCTGCCATGGGGCCCCTTTCCAGTGAGGTGGAAATGTGGCTTGCGTGTAACACTGCATACAGACTGACCCTGACACTGCAAGTTTACACGATGCAAGTCATCGAACTCGATGTTGCCACAAACAAATCGTGTGTGCTTTTTCCAAATAGTGCCGAACTGACAAAAATCAGAATATATGTTGTGGACATGTTGTTGTCTGCAAATACTCTGAAGAAAAGGAAGGTGCCAACACTTTGAGGAAGCTGGATTCTCGAGTATCCATGGGATGCCAAATCTGTCCAGCGTCCGGATCAAGGCAAAACACGATTTGAAGCAAGCATTGCCCAACTGTATCTTTTCCGTCTCAGCTGTGGTCAAAAACTCAGACGAAATTCCCCATGGCTGGTTCCGTGTTCGAATCACCTTGATTCGATCGCGGGCCACTGAAAAAGAACTGCACGGTGGAGCCATCATCATTGCTAACACCTTGCCACTTCTAATGTCACATTTCAAGCGGTAAAGGACGTTCCGACTGGTGAGGTCACACTGGTGTCCCAGTCGAATGTCCCACTGCCGACTCACAAAACCAATTCTCTCACAAGCCAAAGCGACGCCTCCGCGTCCAGAGAAAACATCCGCTACATAGCAGCCTTTCTGGTTTCTCCTAGGCGGTTTGAACTTGGACACTTCTTTCGGCCAGTCATGATGTCGTCGAACGCCGCCTCGCACGCTTGCGAGTACTCCTTGGTCTTGGTAGGGATCTGCTCCCAGGTTCGAGCCAGCCTTGCCGCCTTCTCGTAGCGAACGACTGACTTGTTGCTCTTCCATTGCCCCCGCTTTTGCACCTCCAGCTGTGACCGGTACTTGCGGCTCCGGTCGATGGATGGGCCGCTGTGCCGGGAGTGGTATGGCTCCAGGGGGATGTCCATCTTCTTGGCGCACCTCTTGAACACTGCCAGGTATTGGCTGTAGTCGAAGTCCCACAGGCGAGCACTGCTGGCTCCCTTCTTCAAGGACTTCAGAACATTGGTGACCCAGCAGTTTGTATAGGGAGAGTCTAACAGGACACTGACGTCGTAGTCTCCTGTCTTTGAGGCTTGTTGCAATTCCTCGGGGCTCAAGAGGAGACTCCAGCTGCCCGTCACTCCGGTGGCAGGCGGGATCAGGCTGAACCTCCTCAATCTCAAAAGCTCCGAGGGTCGACTGCATGGAGACAGGGCCAACATTACGAAAACAGCCATCTTGGGAAAGCCAGCCTCCATCATCAAACATGCTACCCCGCACCAAATGGCCAAAGGATAAGGAACCCTGGACCTTCCGGGGCAGAGGCGTCTCCACCCTTTGAGGCAGCGAAGTGCACGAGGAATCCTCTTTACTCCAGCTTTGCTGTATTGAGGGTGATGATGCAGCCAACTGGCAATGAGCCTGTCGCCCACAAAGGCTTGGTGGCCCCCCAGGTAACACAGGTTCATGTATTGCACCATCAACTTGTCGACTGTCTCTGCCTTGCTGACGTCCAGGCCTCGACATTGGGCATAGTCGAGGAAGGCCTGCATCTCCTTCTGGTACATCTTCTCTGACGCAGCTCCAATTGCCTTTCTTTCTAACAAGGTCAGCTCGCTCTTGCCCCTGCCCGCGATGAGGAAGTCCACATACTTTCTTCTCCGGTGGCGGGCCCGAGAGTGTAGGTTCTTTCGTCTCTTCTGCACCAGTTCGAAATCGCTGCTGCTGTCTGAACTGCTCGAGACTGAGCCGCTGTCTCGAACCGCCACAGGCTCGTCGCCAGGATTCTCGAGAGTGGGCACCGCGCCTAGACTCCCTTTGGTTGTCAGAAACTCTTCGGTCTCCGCTGGTTTCAAAACAGGAACCTTCTTGTCCTTGCAACTGTTCACGGTCAACTTCCCCGGGTTGAGCCGGGCCTCCACTCTGGCCGCCTTTGAAGGCGGTTGTCCCGCTGGAGGCGGGAGGCACCGACTCTGCTTCGGCGCCATGGGCGATGCACGCTGTCAGCAACTTTGAAGGCTCATCAGTTCCAAACCGTGAGGGCTCGTCTGCACTGTTCAGTTCACTGGGTATCCATCTAAAACTAGGTTGAATGCCCCGACCAATACAATATGCATTGAACAGCCTCACTTGTTTGAGTAAACCAAATTGACGGCTGCGACTCCGTTCAAAGGCCAAAGTAACCGACATGTTGTCAAGGAGAAAAAGCTGTCGTATTTGTGACCCAAACCGACTCAATGCGACACGCCTCAACGCCTTTACGGCTGCCCTGGCCTCCAAGGTGAGGATGCCCTCATTGAACCGCCAGCGTCCCCAAAGCTTGGGCTGCCATCTGTCTTTCCTAAGCAAACGGGCCGGCACCTCTTCAAAGTTCTGGTCGATCTGCCAACCACTCAAGTTGAGATAGTCTTCAGACGAAAGCTCACCTGTTTTCCAACAACCTGTAACCTCGTCCTTTACGAACCCTGCCGAAGTTAGAGATGACTCGCGGGCAGAGTGCCCCTCGCATCTCCTAAACCGGCTACGCTCCTTCTGTCTCCCAACCCTGGCCACATCTTCGAGACTCCAAAAAGAAGTGCACACTCCATAACCCGTGTTGCTGGCATCGCTGCTGCAAACTAAGGGATTCCAAGGCCGCCACCAATCCGACCGCAGGAAGATCATCAGTCCTGCGAAGGCTGTCAGTTCGGCCCGCACTGAATCCCAAATCATGCTGTTCTCAAAATAATGTGCCTTGATAAATTTGTAGCTACTGTGAAAAACGGACAGCAACATTCTGTTGTTCAGGGCACAAAAGGTGGCGTGCCCCACCACCACCTCTAGCATCTGTCCCGTCACACGCTTCTTATTGAGTAACCCTCGAATGCTCTGTCGAACTCTGTGAAAGCGCTCAGGTGTGATTTTTGAACAAAGATTGTTCCCGTCCAAAATAGTCCCTAGCGCCCGTGTCTCACTGCTGTGCACCTCTCCTGGGTGAAGCAACAAGCCCCGCCCTCCAAAGTGCTCGTCCAACTCCTGGAGGGCGGTTGCAACGACCGCTTTGTGAGGCGACAGGACTCCAAGGTTGTCGACGTAGACATAATGTCTTGTAGTGGACTCTGCTTCTTTCAAACACTTCGAACTTTTGAAGACGACTGGTTTGCCTTTGTCAGTGATCAATGTCGAATCTCCCAAACTGCGAGTCAAAGTGCACTGATGTTCGTTGATCTGTTGGCAAAAATAAAGACTCCATGAAAACCCCATGCACAAGCTGCCAGGCATGGGATAAATGAGGTCATTGCTACCCAACTTAACCCCTTCCAAATACTTGCCGGCCAAACCCACCCAGTGAGCTCGAATGGGCTTCAAGCAGAAGTACTCACTAAGCCACCTCGGTTGTTTGAGCCTGTGGAAGCAGTCCTTCACATCCGAAAGGCCCACGTGAAGCTCCATGGTTCTAAGCTCCTCCAGAAACTCGGGGCTTCCAGGCTTGGCGTCAGAGGACACTTCACATTCAATTCGGCTGAACCCTTCACTTGAACAAAGCTCAACTCCCGGAGGGTCTCGAAAAAGGGCATTTGCGGATCTGGCATCAACAATTAAACGAATCTTCTTCTTGTCACTCTTGTGCACAAAAAACACGCCAACTTCGTTTTTGGGTTTCTGAGTATACTGCAAAAGTCCTATGTCGTCCAGACGTTGAATGAACTCCCGGTAGCATCGTTTGTTGTTTGCCAAAACAGGATCCCAATAGGGGCGGGGAGACTCAAAAACTTCTCCCTCCCTAAGCATGAGCTCTTCACCCAACAAATATCGACGGGCATCTTTGGGCAGCAAGTCCTTGGCCTCTGGAAGGTCATGGAGTGAAGCTGGTAGAGAGATGCGCTCGAGACTGTAGGGGGCTAAAGCAACAGGGATCTTGGGCTGGTTGTATTCCGATTTTCCCTTGAGCAGCTCTCGCAAGGCTGCCTCTGGAGTTGGAACATATCCCAAGGTGCCTATGTTTCCAGCGTCCTTGGAAAGTTCGCGAATTCGTTGGAGAACCTCAACTTGTAAGGGGTCAGGCTCACCATCTGTGCCATGCAAAAAATCATAGCCAGCCAACCAATTCAAGGCCATCACGGCCTCACGCACTGTCTCCTCTCCTCTGCTTCTCCTATCACTCCTCTGCTGTGAGCGGCGACTGGCGCCGTGCCATCTGCTGTGAAGTGAAGGCACTGGCAAAGGAAAAAGATCTCTCTTGCCTACGGCTGGATCTGGCTTCATGCCTCCTACTGCTGCCAGCCCTATGGAATCCCCCTTGGAGGCATCAGGAGGATTCCAAGGCCCACTCATCATTGGTTCTCCGGCGGAGGGAGCTGCTTGGCCTTAGCCTTGCGCTTAGGCTTAGCGGCTCCTCCGCCTGCAGGAAGGCTGCCCTCAGCGACGGCAGCGGCAGCGGCTTCTTCAACGGGCGCTTGCAACTTCTTGAACTCTCTCATCTTCGTTCTGGCAGCTGCAAGCTCGACCTCCTCCTTCCCCTTCTTAGCTGCCCATGAGCGGAGGGTCGGCGACACCAAGTCCTCCGGCCCCTGGTAGCCTGACATGATCTTGGCAGCGCCCCAATCGGGTGAAGATGCTGAACCACTGTTGTATGCATCAACAATGCTCTGAATGCGACGACCCAGTGTCTCAAAGCAAGCCAGGCTTCCCAAATTCAACTGATCGTAGCAGCCAGCTTGCTCGAAGCATTCGAGCAGGGCCCTCATCTCATGCATCACCCGGTCATTGTCGTGAACTCCCTTGTGACGAGCCCACACCAGTAGCCATTGTTTTGGGCTGCCCCCATTCTTCAACATGTACTTCATGAGGTGGACAACGGACTGAGGACCCTCCAGCGGCCAATCGGAGTAGGAGTATTCTCGAGTGTCCTTGGTGGCCTCACGCCAGGAGCGATAACGTTCGCCCTGGTCATCATAGAAGACACTCAAAGTCCGAGCATCCTCTGAGGCCTCTTCTGCCTCTTCTGCCTCATTTCTCTTGCCACCACCTCCTCCGATGTGGACGGATTGTCCTCTCAGCTCCAAACGACTACGCACCAACTTTTCTCGCTCCTCAATGAAGCCTGGCACCTCTTCCACCTTCATCAACTTCACTGTTGTCCATCCCGAGTCTCCTAAGATGGCCCCATGGTTTGAGTCCAGCATGACTCCACGGCTCAATCCAGAAAAGACTTCCTTCCCCAAATCAAAATCAGGGGAGTCATGAGAGGCCACCCACATGAACCCTTCTGCTGGTGTCTCGAGCCCAGATTTTGGGTGGCCCGCTGGCACCTCCGAGGCTTTGGCCGGTTCGGTGATAACTCCACCATCGCGTACACAAATCAGTCTTCATGTGCGATCACTTCCATACCATCACGATGATGTTTCTGATCCTCTCCATATACATTACCCCGCACTCGCCCAACTGCCAGGCCTAGGTGACCCCGCGAAGACACCGGTCCTTCTTTTCGCGCGCGACCATCTCATAGTCCGCTGCTTGGCGTTCAAACGCCGCGTTGAGGATCGTGGCGGCTACCAGGTTCAACAAGCACATCTCAACCAGCAAAACTGCAGAAACCTGAAGGAGATTCAAAAGAGAGTGGTTTTTGAACCGCCAGAACGACTCTGGCGCATGATGGCAGCTGAAAACGATCTCTTAATCCAAACCTACAACTGCCATATATCCTTCACAATTCTCCTGGCAAGAGAACCCAAACAGTATGTCTAAAGGTCCCAGAAAGGGCGAATAACTCTTTAATTGGAATTCACATGGAGCTCCGTTCGTAGCGTCCTTGCTCCGTTCGTAGCGATGCCAGGAGCTCCGTTCGTAGCGTCTTCCATGGAAACTGTTTGGGGTTCAAAACATCTGAAAACAACAACAACAACAACAACAACAACAACAACTCGTTTCGTGGTCAGATCTGCTTTATCAACCAAAGCCCATCGGATCATTCATACCAAAAACGATCTCCGTCACTCCAAGCAGCGATGATCATGGCTGCGAGGGGACTAGCATCGCCGAGGGGTCGTGCAAGTTCCGTCATCCAGCTATCCAAGGTGATGATCTGAAACAAGGTGAAAAAGGCCTAGCCGAGTTTGTGTGGCCTAGCGACATGTTCCAATGGGAGTTCATTTGCTTTTTTGTGGACCTGGACCTTGGTCCACCGTGTGGTGCTTGGCGATTCCAGTGTGGTGATGATAATCACGAAAGCATGTTCTGCCCGACACGTTTGAGAAACAAACAAAGCCGTTTGTTGGTGCTGCAAAGGGTGTTTTGATGGTGCGAACGGCGAAATCCAACACTTGGAACATTTATGTCAATTTGATGGGGATTGATGGGCAAACGGAAGTATATACTAATTAGCTATAGCTTAGTACAATGAAAAAACTGTGTTTCCGTTTTTTTGTTTTCATGTACGATGTTTTCGTTGGACCATCCAAGGGGTCTCCAATAGACCACCCTACTTACAGGTCTTCCATTGGACACCCGGACAGGATGCTCTACTAAGTATGTGTAGTTTGTACTGAGTAATTAAACGTAAGCAACACGATCCGGACAATCGATCTGATCGGCACATGGCTCCCCGGATGCGCCGAACTTTGGCTTCGCAGAGAGTTCACTACACGGATGGGCTGCTTGGTTTGTTCAAGAGAATTCGGCTTTTGAGGACAAGTCATATCTTGTATCATGGAGTTAAACCAGTAATTTCTGCCCAAGAGGAGGCTCTATAGGTATTCTGTGCTTGGTTTGACGGCAGTGAAAGAAACTGAACCATGGCAGAAGAAACATGGACACTCGACATCTCATGACCTCTCGACACTCGCTTCTAAACTGGCTTCTCTGCGGCTCACGGCCGTGCAAAGATCCTCTCTCTCTCTCTGGCCGCCTCGGGTACCGTTTGGAAGCGCGCAATGACCATGGGATGATCCTTCGTGGCAGGGTTCTTGGTGATCAACACCACCTGAACGGTCCCACCGTGGCAAGTCGGCACGTATGGCAACACGAGACGCGTGACGCGGACGAGTGTGACAAGAGGCAAGTCGGCACGTGTGAGAAGATGAAGTTCAGCAGCGTGAAAAAGGATGTGTGTGGGTGTGTTTCTTTTTTTAAAATCTCTCTCTCTCTCTCTCTATTAGGTTGGAGGCCATTGCTACTAGGGTGGAGGCCATCACTAGTAGGTTGGAGGCCATTGCTTCTAGGTTGGAGGCCATCACTATTAGGCTCTCTCTCCCTCTCTCTCCCTCCCCCAATCGTGGAGATTTCCAGATTTGGTAGGCCCAAAGGAGCCAATGTATTGATGCTTCGGGACGATTGGTGGGATGAGGATGATGACTAGACTATATTTATTTATACAGGTACTTCTCTGAGGGATCCTGGGGCACAGGTATTCAACAAATTCCACCCTCCCATTCTTCCTATCCAACATGGGGCCGTGAATGCGTGGGAATGATCGCACCCATTCCACGAGCCGGCAAGAGACCACAAAGACTGCAAAGATGAATAGCGTTGTGCCCAGCATTAAGAGTGTGTAGGCAAGGATTCGACCGCTGCCAATCATCCCCTGTGCCGTGGGCGCCACGGGCAAGCTGATGGTAATTATATGCGAAAACAGCTTCAATGTCAGCAAATAAGCGGAGAATGATGGTGGCCGACAGCTTTATAAGTTCGATCTTTTCTTTGTGCAGAGTCTCCATAAGGTTCCCACATTCTTGAATGACAATGCATCTAACACTTGCATGGAGCAAGCTCGAAGTGGGAGGTCCATCCAAAAGGACAACTCTAAGCAGTCAAAGAAAGGATTTCGACCCTCAAACATTAAGCCGTTCGGAACTCGTGCCATTGTCAGCTGTGCCAGCTGTGCCAGAAGAAAAAGGCATGAAGGCAGCAAGTTGATGTAACAATGTTGCGCAACTCTTACAAAGGCATCTCTCAAACCAGTCAACTAAGAACCTGGCTTGGTTTCAGCTCGCTTGAAAAATGTGAGTCAGTGGGTTCAATCATCCCAAGTAAAGGCTGAACACATATTGGTGTTCACTTTAAATCGGAGACCCCCAATATCCCCCAATCAATGGGTTTTGGTCTAGTTTCTAGTTTCAAGTAATGTCTTCGTCCAGGGGGTCCATATCTGAAACCACTTAGAAAGATTTAGAAGTTGATGGCTGGTCTTCAAGTCCTGACCTCGTTCCTATTGTTGCTCCCTAGTTCTTATTGGGTGACATCCAACCTCTACACAGCCACTGTACACCCAACAGAACGCCCGGCTGAAGCCGCGACTCGTCGATCCAACAAGAATCCACGCCACTTGCACTGACTCGTCGTGAGCAACATGTGTATCTGACTCGTTGTTTCTTGCCACACCGATGGTTCAGAGGCTCACCGAGGTGACGCGGAAGACCCTGGGGTGCATGGGATCCACAGAAAACGGGAGGGTTTCTGATCAATCCTCGGCATGTGCAGAGCTTTTCCCGTCTTTGAGCTTCGGCCGTTTCATCGGGTCAATCCGGTAGGCGGTAGGAGTCGAACTATATAGGTAGGCCTGGAGAAACACCGGAGCCATCCTCCCCTCCTCACCTCCGTCCCCACCTGGAAGAGGTTCCATAGAATCTTCAGGCGTCGATACTTCCGGATGAGCCGCCCCAGCTTCACGGCGCGGAAGAGTCGGAGCACGGCGAAGGGGCGCATCACCGCGTTGTCGATGCCCAAAGGCAGCAGGATCCAAACCTCGCTGCCCGATCCGCCGGTCTCGTTGGAGGAGTCGTTCCGACAGCATGGGGAACGAGGGCAGATGCTTTTTGGAGCACAGTGTGTTTTGGTAGGGGGGGTGGGTGAACATGAGTAGGACTTCACCAAATGAGAGATCAACTCCTCCAATTTCTTGGACCAAAATCGCTGGGATGGCTGCCAAGGTACACTTACACATGACAAAGGAATTCTCAAAACAGGTGACCAACAAACATCTCACGCCGAGCACATCGCACGCTGACTATGGGGGAATCTCTCGAACCGTCGAGACTTTCCCTCACAACGCCCTCCTGCGCTCGACGCGGCGTGCGCACGCTTTGGGCGCCCATCGCCCAATTGGGCGCCCATTTTTGCGTTTGCGCTTTCGACGGTCATGGGACCGGGATCACGTTGGTGGCCAGGACGATGATCACATCAAAAATGTTGGAAGCTTTACACCACCAGCGCCAGCCCTGAAGCTGCCGGAATCCATTGATCGACCGATCGCGACGGACGCGATCACTCCGAGCCCTGGGAATCAGCGCGTTTACCGATCAACATGCAGCGCTCAGTGGGGAAAGCCGCCCACCAGCGATTGCAAGTAAAGTGTAAACAATACCGTGGGCATAGATACTAGATGGCAACAAATACCATGCTTGCTATATAGATTTAGATACTTGCTTGCTACATGGCAACATACCGTGCACGGCATGCCGTGCACAATCTTGCACAACTCGCGGCCAAATGAATGGATCCCTGCTCGGAGTCAGAGCCGTTTTCATGCACGCAATTCAAACAGCCAACACTCTGAATGAAACATCAACAAATACCACAAATTGGTCACCATCTTTTCACCTCCTTCAGAACATGGATTCCCCTCCACATCTGAAACTCCAATCACCCTCCAAACTCGGACAGCTTCCTTTGGTGGATCCCCAACGCACCGCCTCTGGGAGTGCGCGCACGAAGAGCTCCACGACGAAGCAGACTGTGAAGATAAAATCCAAGACCGTGTAGATCCCTCAGAAAGCAGTAACAAGGACGCTGTGCTCGGTGGCCATCGCAAGTAGGTTGGAGACCATCACTATAGTAACAGGACGCTTCTAGCTTCTGTTCTCTTCTGTGGAGCGGAGCCATGTCCGGTCGCGCGTGACGTCTCGCAGGTCGTGTGGAGCCAGTTGTGTGGGCAGGAAACGGAGACCCCGACTATAGTTGGAGCTATCTCAACATCGCGCTCTTTAGCCACCTCGCCTACTTGTTGGTGGCTGTAACTTAATGAAGAATAATATCCAGGTCCCGGTTTGAGCTTTGAGAACTCTGACAGGAAGCAATTCACCCTGCACTGCTGAACCAGAACATGGCGGTTGACATTGACCCTGTGCATGCATGTCAACTGCCTTACTTGCTTGATGATCATTCGTGCAAAAACGAACCAGTGATTCATTGCATCACTTGCGGCATGTCTTGGATGAACATGGTAACATGGCTGTACCCGTAACCCTCATGTCTTCCGGTTTGGAGCCCAAAAAAGTAGAGAGACGTGCATCATCTTCGGTTTCTTCGCTCACGGAGAGTGGCCAGGCAGCTTAACGCCCCACCCCAGCGCCCCAGCGCCTGCAGCACTCTTCTCTTCCTGAGAGACTTGGAAGCCAATCATGACGGCATTGGCCAACATAATGAGGCCCATGGCGCTTTCGAAGCGATCGGAGTGCACCAAGGCATCCTGTGAAGATTTCAAGACACAAAAGACGGCAGCGATACAAATTACATATAATATAAGATAATCAATGTCATCAATTGTGTTCTTGAACATCAGCTCCCACTTCTTGTCCACACTCAAATATCCAAACCTCCCACAAAATGCAACGTTTAATCACCTTTTATACGTGGTTCCACAAAATCAACAGGCTGCTGAACTCCATGCCGAGGATCCATTCGAGGAAAGCGGTTCACGTATTCCGGGTCGGCACGCCGGAGGTCATGCTCCTTGAGGTGAAGCGAAAGCAGTTCAAAGACATGGATTGAAAAACCTCTATATGGGAGGGTTATTAATCAAGAGTCTACATTACACACTCACTTAAGTCGGTCGGTGTGCGCCCACAGCTTTGAGCGGCTTTGAGCGGCCGAGAGTCTACATTAAAAAACAAAACACATGTTGATTTGGAAGCTAGTAGTAACAAGTGCCACGCTAGTAGTAACATGTGCCTCACTAGTAGTAACAAGAAGCTAGTAGTAACAAGTGCCACGCTAGTAGTAACAAGTGCCTCACTAGTAGTAACAAGAAGCTAGTAGTAACAAGTGCCACGCTAGTAGTAACAAGTGCCTCACTAGTAGCAACAAGAAGCTACTAGAAACACACGTTGATTTCTCTTGCGATCTGCCAGCTGGTCGACCGGGAGCGGACGTTGGGCTCCAACAAGTCTCGGTAATTGACAATCAGCTCACAAACTTGTGGACATACGTTCCAAGCTTTCCAAACTGTTGTGAGATGGTATATAATATTGTATATATTATACAATATACAGTTTGTTTATATATATACTGTAATTGTTGCTTTAGTGAGTGTTACTTCTTCTTTTTGCGGTGGTGTTTCCAAGCACTCTGAGACTCAGTCCGAAGTATTATAAGCTTCCATAAGCTTAAAAACTGCTTCCCCATGTATGTCTTCCTTCATCCCTCATCCACCTCCGTCCGGGAGCCATCCGTCTCCGTCCTTGATCTTCTGTCGGATGTACTTCACACCGATGGCCGACAAGAACTTGGTGAAGGCCGTGGGAAATTCCTTGTGGAGCAAGATATTCTTCAGCATCACCGTGGTGGAATGCGTCCAGAACTCAGTCCTAAGACATCCGAAACGGATCTCTGGACGGATGTCGGATGTACCAGGACACCCGGGCCAGGGGGGTGTCTATTGATAGCCTCTTAGAGGTTAAGGGGTGTCCATTAACCACCCCTTGTGGGTCCTGGTATAGATCCTTTGTTTGGAAATTCCTCACCAGCTAATAGCATAATGAATAATAACCATTATAGATGTAATATTATATAACATAATTAGTTATGGCGGTTTTGATCTTTTTTTGTGTTAGACTTTTGGTAAGGGTTCAGTGCATCATAGTTTATCCTCAAATTACGCATGCCATTGACCATTTCCAAACAATTCCTCCTAAGTCCTCAGGCTTCTTTGGGCTCCTACCCGACCGTGGATTAAAACGGAGAGGAAAGTCAGCGGAGCACCGACAGCGTAGCGGTGGAAACTTCATCTCCAGTCACTTATAGATATTACCAGTAAATTGGGATAGTCGGTCCCACACAAAAGGATGGGCATGCAAATATCCTCCGTAATGAATACCGGAAAACTGGCCTTCCAGCCACAAAACCTCTCGCCACGAATTCTGGTGGATTTTGACCCAAACACCCTCCGTCATGCGATCCATAGGCTGAGTATTGGAAGGTCAAGAGTTCATGTGCTTCCAATGTGCACGACCAGTTGGACCACTGTCCCGCTCTCTCCCTAGCTCTGAAGGCATTTACTAGTAGATACTTGAGAAGAGGGATACACGAAAGGCAGGACAGCGGGAGGAGAATAGAAGCATGTAAAATATGCAGTGTGGTGTTGGTGGAGTCGAGTCAAACGTCAACTTGAGAGTGGGGGAAAAGACCAAAGTTTATAGTTATATATATTCCTCAACGACAAGAAGCACTAAAAACAACATGTCATGTCTCTTCCTGGACTCAAACACTGCCCCAAGCTTAGAGTGCTCAATTCCTAAATAACAATCGAGGTGATCCACTTCAGGATGATTGAACTATCAATCATTAGATCCGGAGGAGCCCACACTTGCTTCGCAAGACAAACTCAAGGTATCCCCTGAAGGGCTACCTTTCGTGACTTAGATACTAGTATAGCTTCTTGCTACTAGTAGTAATGGCCTCCAACCTAGTAGCGTCCTTGCTACTACTAGCTATTGGTCAAAACATTGAAAAGGGCGCTCTTCAGAGCTCTACAACGCCTGCACGTCGAGCCGCTCTTTGGCCTTATCGGCCGTTCGCTCGGGGACCTCGCCCATCTTCAGCAGGGTCTTCAAGCCTCGTGAGGCGGTTCTGACATTCTTTGGATAATACTATTCCTAGTAGCGTCCTTGCTCCTAGTAACGATGCCCTTTGCTCCTAGTAGCTTCTTGCTCCTAGTAGATTGAAAAAGGTATCAGAACGGCAGAGGCAAGGAACGGTGCCCTTCTTCTTTGGAAAGCCATCCGCTGGCCATGCGCATCTCGATTTCAGCATCCTCATTGCCCGTCCTTGGTGATTGAACGCTTCAACCAAAGAAGCTCTTGTGACTCTTGTAAGTAAAAAGAAACAGTGTAGGGATTCATGAGTCTGGGGATGACAATGTCTTTTCCGACGGTCCCACTCTGCCAGGCACGTTGCCTAAAAACACGTCGCATGCAAAGGCGCCGGACAAATGGATCACATTCACCCCCGAAAAACAAAAAATACATATATCCAATGGGTGTCTAATCACTGCAGATTCATTAAGCCCAGATTGCCCCGGTCTCATCCAGGTCACAACTCCGCCATTCGACTCGATCAACTTCTCAGCGGTCGATCGACATGACGCGTGGAGGCGACTCGCCGGTCACAGGGGCGACTCGCTGGGTTTCTCCGCCGGTCCCGCCGTGGAGGCGACTCCAAGGTAGGTAGGAAGGTAGTTTACTCCTACGTCAGGGCTGCGGCTTTCGGGTGATGGGGTGCTTTGTGCTTTACGAAAGTCGTGGTGGAACCCATGACTTAGAGAGGTACTGAGTCGGTACTCATTTCTTGAAAGCTCAAGAGTCGGCACTCGATGTCACAGAGCGGAAGCTCGGAATGTCCTACGAAGAAAAAAATGCCAACATATGTTTCTTCTTGAGCTATAGTGCTTGCTGCCCCGGTTTTCTCCATATGATTGGCTGAAGGGCAACTGTTCAGTCGCCCACAAATCTCTATACATCTTTCTTCACAGGTGTATAGGCTATAGGTTCAACTGGATCTTGTCAAGAAACAACACCTGCCCCGAGGGCTAAGGGCGCCAACTTTGGATCTTTGCACTTGCTGGGCATGCGCATCATCTGGTAAAATATCACTAGGTGGCCAGACCACCTTGAGCCGAGTGGTCGATCAAACTTCAAAGTCCAAACGGCCGAACGATGAAATGGAATCTGCTTCGAGTATCTTCGAGTGAACTTCAACGCTTTAAATGATCTCTGAAGCTAAGCCGAACAAAAAGAAAGCTGACCTGTCCACCACTACTTTTTGGTGGGGAAGGAAGTTCTGGTTGGTGTCAGACTGAAGTCGGGTCGCATGCTAGGCCCATTATCCATGCAGTTGCCACGGTTCTTTTGAGGTTCAGGTCACATCTAATGGAAATTAAAAGAGATCAGATTCCATCACATCCCATCACATCCATGTTCAATCGTGCCCTAGACGAGACCCAAGTTGTTTGACTACAGATCTGCATACATCTCCAAAGGAACGACCAAACGTCCTCCAAAGAGGCAGCCATCAAACCCTTTGCTGGACATGGCCTCTGGCCTCCAACCTAATAGCCGTGGCCTCGAACGGCCTCCATCCTAATAGCCATGGCCTGCAACCTCGAAGCAATGGCCTTCATCCCAAGAGCGACCTTCACAGGAACGGCAAACGTCCTCCAGGAGGCATGTTGAGATCCATCATCACTGCCGGTGTGGGTGCAGCCTCAGCACACCATCTGCGCTGAAGAACATGCCTCTCTCGCGAGCATGCGTGCACATGCGTGCGCATGCGTGCCCAATGTACCTAGAACTTGGTGGGTCTTGGAATGTTTTGGACTGGAAATCGACTTGGGCAAGGGTGCAATGAAATCAATCTGAAGGATCAAGGCACTTTTTAGGTAGCAAACCCATTTGCCTCCTTTTTTGCAAGAAGACTGGACTCCTCAAACACCCATTAAGAACACTAAGTCACTAAGGATAGTAACGGACTCTACTTGGATTGAATCACTTTGTAGGCATAAATGAATGAAAGAACCACTATAAGTAAGGAACTGGAGCTACCACTCCGCCCCGCAAAAAGCACGAGAGAGCAGATTTTCCGTGGTGCACATGGAAAGCAAAAAGCCACCCGAGTCCTTTAACGAATGAACCACTGACATGAGCACCTGTCTGACGTGGGCATGTGGCTGGGCTTTTGTTCCCCACGAGTATTGGCTGGAATCATATGGCTACTAGGAACAAGTAGCTAGTAGGGGCTCCTGGCATCGCTACTAGGAGCAAGGGCGCTACTAGGGGCTCCTGGCATCACTACTAGGAGGAAGGACCCTACTAGGGGCTCCTGGCATCACTACTAGGAGGAAGGACCCTACTAGGGGCTCCTGGCATCCTCCTGGCCTTACTACTAGGAACAAGAAGCTACTAGGAGCTCCTGGCATCGCTACTGGGGGGCTCCTGGAGCATGAATGCATCCAAAGGATCATGCGCCCAAACCGAATCATCACACGCCCAGTACTCGATCGTCATACGCCCAGTACTGCATCCAAACGTCCCCAAAAACATCCAACCACAAATCACAAATCAATCACCTAGGACACTCCAACAGCTCACACAAACACCCAGAGCTATTCGTGGAAGTCTGATCAGATACTCATAGCATCCCATAGCGAACGTGATCGAGTCGGCCCACAAAACATGCCTTTCGCACGGCGAACCAAACAACGAATTCGGCTCCCGACCCTCGATGCTGACGTTCCCCCGAAACGCGGCTCTCGTCTTCCACCGCGAGGCCACGGAAGGCATCCCGAAGTCGCACCAAGCGCTGGTGGTCCTCAAAACCTGCAGGTGATGGTGGAAGGGACCCGGGTGGGAACCGGGAAACTTCGAACATGAAGGACACATTAGGAAATGACCTGGATGCGTGCTAGCATTTGATTCAAGCAAATGACGCTTCAACATATGTTCTAATTCAGCTCGATCCGTTCAAAGTGCACCCGAAGATTAAACAGATTTAAACAGGATATGGGATTTGCCCCAGCTACTTCCCAGCCCCCCACTGGATTTTTCCGGTGCATTCTGCTTCATGGCCGGGACGCTGGGATCCTCCGCGCCAGTGCGGGATCCTCCAAGGCGCCCCTTCCGCCGCCCTGAAAAGTCCCAAGTCTGTTGTTATCCGCGCATCGTGACCATGAGTGACCTCTACAGCAATAATGTAACAGGTTGCAACACCAAAAACCCAACAAGCTTTCACAGTTGATTTCTCCACATCAACTCACTCAGCCACTTCTCCATGCCAACTTCACTGCCTCTCTGGTCCTGGCCGGTTCGGGTATGGCCTGGTAGTGTGACAAGGACTCCGCGGTGGTGTTGAGCTTCAGAGTGACCCTCTGAAACGGCGGCACCAAGCTGGGCCCCTCGGAGTAGATCATGGCCTGGCCGACTTCGTTCGCCGATCAGAGCCGGCGGAGTTGGACGCTTCGAAGGAACGAGAAGGAAGGACAGTCCGTGGAGGATGGACAATCCTGGAGTTGCAGTTCGAGTCTAGATGGATTGAAATCCGACGCAAAACATCACCATGCAGCCTTGCCAGATCTTACCAGAAAATGCCCGTGTGAACACAATACGCCCCATCTCTCATGGTCACGGTGTGCCATTGTCACGCGCGCGAGAAACACCTTCATTGTCAACACGTGGTGTTTTTTTGTTTTGCAGCAGTCATTGCGAGGTTGAAAAATGGATGACCCAAGTCGTGCATGACATGCCTGGCGCAGGAAGTAGATCGGCAAAGCGTTGGACCACGTTT